GTTGACTCTTACCAATAAAGCTGGAGTAAATATGACTGGGAAAATGCCTTTTTATAAATTTTGATGTTTGTGATTGATAGTATTCATGCAATTAAAAAAAATAACTCTTTTGTACAAGAGGTTTCGTGTCATTAATAGGTTGGGGGTCTTTTTTAAAAAAATATTATTTTTGTGTGAATGTACCGTCAAATTGGATCTGACTGTTACACAAGGAAATTGTGCCTCTTTCTCCATCAGACCATCTGGATTCGAACCACACACCTCTGGGATTGCAGTGCAGCGTCTTGCCGCTAGGCCACCAGAGCTCCCTTCATGTCATGAATAGTTTTAGTTATCTGCCGGTAGAAAGGGCACTGTTTTTACTCTTCAGGATGATACTTGGTGAGCATGTAAGTTCTCTATTTTTCATTGTGTACTTTACTGTCACAACAAAGCAGGCCTAGAGAGTATGCCCAACATCCATGAGTGTCTCAGCCATGCTCTGAAGAACATCAGATTAACAAAATCATTGCCTCTCCCAAGTCTTCATTGACTAAAATGTCATAGTTTGCTGCCTAGTGCATGTCAGGCACCTCTTTCCCCTGAAGTAGAAACCAGTGAAGGCTTGCTCTGAAAAGTGTGACATGTCCACAGCAAATTCTTTACCTTTAAAATCCTGAGGGATGGTCACCTAGGAATGGATTTGGCCTTCGACAGCAATGAATTTTCATTTTAACACTCAACTGCATAACCTTCGTACCACTAAATCATCTTACACGGAACCTCTCTCTTTTTTTTCTTTATTCCCTTTTTTAAAGTATATATTTCCATCTTTGATTCTTTTATTGAATAGATAAAACAAAATTAGTTGAAGTAATACAAAGAGCTGCACAGAGTAAAATTACTCCCCGGGGGATGTTGGAAAATTTAGAAAAAAATATTTCAAGGACCCACAGAGGCATATACTCAATTTGTTTCTTACAAGAGGCTCATGAGAGACAGGTCTGGAGTAGTGGAGAGTAGGCCTGGTACGGAATCAGTATTAGGGCAGTTGGATTGTGGAAATGGTTATGAAGACTGTCAGGCATCCATGAGACCACCTAGAGAGAGTGGTCATATTCTGGGCGATTTGAGATTATGTAGAAATGTGGATTTCCACATTCATAAAGCAAAGGCTCCCTCTGCCACGACATATGCATTACAGACACAATCTAAAAGTATGTTTTAATCGCGGAAAGACAGGACACGTAAAAAAGGATTGCCGACAGCGGGCTGGAAATACTGGGACAAAAGTTATGTCCACAGCAGAACTTGCAGATATTAAAAAGGTTCCTGGAACATGTCCCTGATGTCATAAAGGCATTCACTGAGGTAGAGAACACCATTCTAAATTTGATACAGATGGAAATCCATCATTGGGAGGTTGGTGGAGGGGCCTGGCTCAAGCCCCTTGAAACAGCAGGGGCACAGTCCCTGCATCCTAGGGGTGGATGGCCAAGGAGACTCCCAGGCCTGCTCACGCTGCTTTCACAAACCTCCCTTTCTTTCTTTTTTTTTTTATGGGGAAAAATATATTGGGGTTACAAGGAGGTGAGGGTTGGGGGCAGAAAGGTGAGAATGGGCCAGGATGCAGTTGCAGAGCTGCACAGTTTGGTCGGTGAGGGGAGCAGGTGAAGGAAATGATGAAGGTCCAGAGGGGACCAGATACTACAGAGGAATGACAAGCATTTTCCAATAGTAATTAAACCAACTGTCTTATTGATTTGGGAACTGGATGCCGACTCTCTGGCTTCTTCATGCTGAACAGGGGC